ACTTCTGGGACCACCTTGAAAGGCAAAGAAAGGAATGGTACTTGAGTCTCCAGGGATTTGCTTCTGGTCTTTTGTGGTGTTCATAAGACCCACACATGTCCACCTCCTGATCCAGGTTCTGACCCTTTTCACTCTCCTCATTGCTGCCTGAAACTTCCCACATACGTCTAGCCTGGTGTCTATATCTTGAATGGTCCTTTGGCCTAGTCTGGTTTTCATACTCCTATTCTACCTTCAAAACCTACCTTTGTGAACCCTTTTCTATTTCTTTCCCCTCCATTCACAGCTATTTTAAGCCCTTATTGATGGAATCCTTCTCATGCCAAATAATAGGACTCTTTTGATCTGATTTGACAGTAGCCATTTTCAACTTTTCTTTTTCTAAGTTATCAGATGGCATACAGTAGCCATTCAGTGGACAGCTAGAAGAAGAGACATACTCAAAAGATATCAAGCATGTGTTGAGAGGTGGGAATTGCTGTCGCTTAGCAACCAGCAGCCTGTGGCTGCAGGAAGGTCTCATCCCTTCAGCCCCACTAGTCAACTCCTCTGTCTTCTCTCCTGGCTGCACTATGTCTTCCTGGAGGTTTCTGTCTAGGGTACCATCTAGACTGCTCCATGGGCATTAGCATGGAGGAGGGTAAGGCATCCATCATGATCACTGGGCTACTGAGCAAGGTTGAGTGTCTTCCTGCCTTCTTGCCTTCCTATGCAAGAGACATGATGACTGGTGACAGAGAGGAGCAAACACTGAATCACAGGCTCCATGTGTGGTCTGTTGGTTCTGCAAACATGCTCAACCATCCTTACGTTCTACACAAACTGGCTTTGATGTCCCTTTCCAACAATGAGAACAGAAGCTCAGAGAAGGTAGTATTTTGCCCAAGGTAACATGAAGGTGTTGGAGGAGTGGGCTCCTCTAGGCTTTTCAGAGGACTCTGCTAAGTGTCCAGGCTCCAGAGTGTATGGGAGATTTGGGGGAATGTTGCCCAGTTTCTAGTTTGTCTTAGTAATAAAAACCTAGAGTCAGATATTAGGGGGTGAACGTTGAAAGATCAGAGAAGCAAAGCAGCCAGTCATTAGTTCTTACCTCTACGAAATCCTCAGACAGAATGGGGTTTCCTGACTCTACAAGTTCTCAGACTGAATGCCTTGAACTCATCTCCTCCCGGCTTATACTCTTCTCTCTGCCCAGCCATATCCCTTCCTGTCTCCACCTCCCTAGTGTTAGAATTAAAGGCATGTGACTCCCAAGTACTGGGATTAAAGATATATGCCACCATTGCCTGGCCTCTATGGCTAACTCGTGGCTAGCTCCACACTCTGGTCTTCAGGCAAGCATCATTCGTTAGAGCACAGACAAATATCACCACAGGGAAAGAGAAAGAGCATTTGTTGGGGAAGAGCCCTGCTACTGCGGCTCCCTCCCAGGGCAGCCATAGGCAGCTATGCCCGTGATAGTACAGATCTGGCATAGCTCAGGCTGTCTGAGGACTAGAATTTAGGACCTGCTCTTATTTGTTCTCTGCAAATTCCTTGACCAAGGGAGGCATCTGTCAAATGGGTCAGGTCTGGACCTTGAAGGGTTGCCACGAAAACAAACAGGACCCTTGTACTCAGGCAGCAGAGAGGATACCATCCTGCCTTGTCACCAGGGTTCTGACATGTCTGTCCACTATGTGTCTGTGTGCTGATGGGTCCCCTTTGTATGTTTGTGTGGGGCTGATGGGCAAACATGAGCGCTGTGTCTCCTGCTCACAAGGTCATGGGTTTTGAGTGTGTTCATTTTGTTGTATGTGGATGTCACTCTTCAGCCCCAGCTGGAGGCTGTTCTGAGCAGCTGCGGGGCATTCCAGGCAGCTCCTCACACGTCCCCAGCTCAGAGCACCCTCAGCAGCCCCAGGGCCCCAGCCTATCTGTGTCCCTTCCTTCCTTTGCTGGTGCCAACATGTTTAGTAGTGGTGGTGGTGGTGGGGTGCAGGAAGGAGGAGAGGAAAGAGGAGGCCTGGATGGATGCCCGAGGCTCTGCAGCTTCTGGCTTGGTGCCAGGAGGGACTCTGAGTTTGTTTGAGCACTAGGGGGCAATGTGCCTGTTTGAAAGAAACTTAGGAGCCAGCTCCAGAGGTGTGAGCACACACAGGCCCATACAGGGGTGCCCACACCATGGAGGTGCAAACACTGGTGCACAGAGGGCCCAGGCAGGCATGCATGTCTTCACAGAGCAGTACAAAAGATACATAGGGCAGGGGTGAGGGCGTTCAAGGGGTCAATGCAACTGCACAGAGGTAAATAGCTGCACACCCAGAGAGATGGGCAGTGGTGATTGAAAGCAGACAATACCCGTGAGAGTGTGTGTGTGCTCGTGCACGCACATGCGTTCATGTGCGCATACACACACACACACTGCACAGTGACGTCCAAAGGTACATGCACCTGCCATATACAGAAGCACACAGATGGCAGCTACCTAGCCTCCTAGGGCAAGCATAAATGCAAGTATAGTCAGTCCATTTACAGTGTTAAGAAAGGAGTCCTTCTCCTCCAAACTCAATTCTCTCTTCAGACACCCAAACACCCCAAAATGTTGACTCTGGGAAAGAGCCCGGAAAAAATGCCTATACTTCCTCCCTTCAGTGCAAACAGGAAATTCAGTCAGATGCGGGGACCCCCACCCAACACTTTGGACCAGTGTCCCTCAGAGAGCAGGCCCGCGTGAACTCCTTCCCAGCTCCTGCCATCCCTCCCTAGTACTCCACAAAGTTCCCAAAACATCCTGTCCCCTCCTGACATGATGGACAAGGTATTCCATTCCTGCCTCCTGAGAAGGCCACCATCCCCAAGATGGGCACAAGGCCATGTGTCACAGCTACCTGGGGCATCCTCCTGAGATCTACCCTGGGCTCTCCCCCTTCCTGTCCAAGAGGACCAGAGGCCCCTGGCTGTGGGCTGAAGGCTCCCTCGGAGGTGTCTAACCGGGTCCTTTTTCCTTTGTGCCTGCATAGCCAAGGCCTGTCTCCCCGCTCTCCTTCCCTGTCACTTTGCTAAGTAATAATTTCCATGTCCAGTTCCATTTCTTTTCTAGTTCTGAAACCTCTAAGCTATCAGCAAGAGGATAGTTCGCATGAAAACTAATTACACAAAATCAATATTTAATCACAGACCAACAACCTGATCCTGCAGAAAAATCCTTTTAAAACTCCACCACCCTGCACAAATACTTCTTCCCAATGCTTATTTATGGGCCCCGTTTTTGGTGGGGGTAATTTTCATTTTTAATTTCAGAAGGAAAAAAAAAATCTGTAGACTGCAGGAAAGGCCTGAGCTTGTTGCAGCTTCCCGAGCATAATTTCGAGTGTGTGTGGGGGTGGGGGAGTGTATGTGGGGTGAAGGAGCAGGGGCGGGGTGAGAGTGTGTTTGGCGAGGTGAAGCAGCGGGGGCGGGGTGAGTGTGTGTGTGTGTGTGTGTGTGTGTGTGTGTGTGTGTAGGGGGTGATTGCTTCAGAAGTCCCTTGGGGATTCCTGTCGCGCGCGCGCGCGCGCGCGCCCCCCCCCCATCGAGCCATTTTCCAACTAGAAGCTCCGGGGAGAGATGAATTCACCGCGAATGACACGGTAACTTTTAACTCATGCCCGCGACAGTGGAGTGCTTAATCTGAGGTTTTTAAATAAAAAGGGTTGGTTTTATTATAACGTTTATTTCATTTCAGATTTCATGCGTAATTTAGCAAACGCTAGACAGACTTGGGCGATAAACACTTTCTTTTGTGGGGGGAAAAGGCATTTTTATACACCATGCTTAATTTTATTTAGATTTAATAGCGATATCAGGGCACTTCAACGAAAGTTTTTTCCCCCCTTCTCTTTTAAGAATCCTGGCCTGCCAGCAAAATTGTCTCGCTTTATTTCATGGCATGGAAAATTAAAAGCCTTTCTGTTCCTCCTCCCCTACTTACACTTTGAGAGGAAAACACGCACACGCGTGCTGGCGCGCGGGGGTGTGTGTGGTGCGCGCGCGTCCACATAATCAACACCTCTAGCTCCCATCACCTCCAACTTTTAATTGAAAGACAGATTTCAGCCTCCGTGAGGATCGGGAAGATTTAAACATTTTAACTAAGATTATTGGGATAAAATATTTCATATGAAACAGGGCAGATATTAAATTACTCCATATTGATTTTAGTATCACAATCCAGTTCCGTTCCTTGACCTCTTCAGTTTAATTGATCTTTTAAGGAGTCCAACTTCGCGCCTTCCAGGGTCTGGGCCTGCGCGCCTGTGGCCGCCGCAAGGTGTCGGAGCCCCACTGTGTGCGCTTGGCGCGTCGCTCCTCTCGGGGTTCCGCATTTTCTCGCCTCGCTGCTTCCGCGCCAGGCTCACCCAAAGTGTCCCCTGAAAGCGGCCGAGTGTGAGTGGCTTTTTCTCGGTGGAGCCAGAGGCAGAAAACCGGAAGCCGCGGACGGTGGGCGACTCGGGAAGCAGCAAGCCAGTCCTGGCTCCGGGAGACTACCTCACTTTGTGTTTGCCCTCGGCGATCACACCGTAAACTTCCCAGGGCCGGCTCCCTGGGGCACCGCACCGGGCTGCAGCATAGGCGACACTTAGCGACTTTCCCTGGCGAGTCCCGGGGCTCTGCCAGGCGACCCCATTGTCTGTGCGCCCCGCACAGTTCACCGCCCACCTCCCCGCCCCTGCCCACCCGGCAGGTCGCGCTGGTTCCAGTTGGGGGTGGGGTGGGGAGTTGGAAACAGTGTGAATGGAAAAGGGCGGACAAAGCCCGGCTCCCGCCGTAGTCCTCTGCTCGCGCCCTCCCCAGCCGGGGGCACCCAGGGCGCACCCCCATCGCCACAGCCTGGACTCGGAGTAGCGCGGGTCGGTGGCCAGGCCTGCGCAGCCCGGACCCGGGACCACCTTAAGAGCGAGCCCCGCCCCGGGCCCGCTCGGGCGGCGCTGATTGGTGCAGCGGTAATGGCTGGAATGGATTGCTGAAACGCAAAACTTGTTGCTGCTTCTCCGGGCGCCGGCTAGAGGCAGACGCTGAGCGGGAGCCCGGACCTCGCAACGCCCCTCCCGCCCCGCGCGCCCAGCTCGCTCACGCGCGGCCCCTTCCTGGGTCCGAAGGGACCCGCGGAGCGCGGAGGCGGGAACCGCAGCCTCGGAACCACCGACCCCACGCCTTCCCGCCTGCGCGCGGCCACAGACGCCCGCGAACTCGCGCGGCGACTGGCGGACGAGCCCGAGCCGCGGAGCCGCGCGTTTCCCGCAGCCTGCGATCCCGCTCCGGCGCCCGCATCTCCTGCTGCGGGGCCAGCACCGGCGATGAGGAGCGGAGCCGCCTGTCTTCCGAGCCGCTGAAGCATTCGTCGCCGATCGCCTGGAGGTGCGGGAACCCGTGCGACCCGGGGTCGGGGACTCGGGGCAGGGGAGGGACCAAGGGGCTCCCCTACGGCCCCAGCCGCCGCGCAGCAGACTCCAAAAGGTGATCATTTTGCTCTCCCGCCTATTTTCCTCCCCCCACCCCACTTAACTTTTTGTCTTAGCTGGTCGGCCGCCAGGTCTCCTCTCCGCATACCCACTCGTGCCATCCGCCCGGGGCATGGGCCCCCCGACAAGGCTCCAGGAGGCACCCCGGCCTCGCAAGACGTGAGAGGCCCGTAGATTTCGAGGTTCCGGAGAGCAGCGGAGAGCTCCCAGCCAGCGCCCGCGCGCCCGGCGGGGTGGCGGTGAGCGCTGCGCCTCGCCCCGGTGAGAACGTCCTGGAGCGCCGGAGCCGGCCTGAAGCGAGTAGCTGGCCCGAGGCGCGCCGCGGAGCAGGCTGTCATGCCCTATTGATCCCCCCGCCCCCAGCCAAGTATGTTTGGGCTGGACCAGTTCGAGCCCCAGATTAACAGCCGGCACGCTGGCCAGGGCGAGGGGAACTTTAACGAAGCCGGACTGAGTATGAACGCCCACTTTAAGGCTCCTTCTTTCCACACCGGGCCCCCTCCTGGCCCTGTGGACCCTGCCATAAGCGCTTTGGGTGAACCCCCTATCTTGGGGTTGAACATGGAGCCCTACGGCTTTCACGCGCGCGGCCACTCAGAGCTGCACGCGCAGCCTGTGCACGGCTTCTTCGGTGGTCAGCAGCCTCACCACAGCCACCCCGGAGGCCACCACCCCCACCAGCATCACCCCCACTTCGGGGGCAACTTCGGTGGTCCGGACCCAGGTGCCTCATGTCTGCACGGGGGCCGGCTTCTTGGCTACGGAGGTGCAACGAGCGGCCTGGGCAGCCAGCCGCCCTTCGCAGAGAATTATGAGCACATGGCGGAGAGCCAGGGGCCGGAGGGCTTCGGCCCGCAGCGGCCAGGAAACCTCCCGGATTTCCACAGTTCGGGCACTTCGGGCCACGCCGTGCCTGCTCCGTGCCTGCCGCTGGACCAGAGCCCTAACCGGGCTGCTTCTTTCCACGGCCTGCCGGCCTCCAGTGGCTCGGATTCTCACAGTCTGGAGCCCCGGAGGGTGACGAACCAAGGAGCTGTAGATTCGCTGGAATACAATTACCCGGGCGAGCCGCCCTCAGGACATTTTGACATGTTTTCGCCCTCCGACTCCGAAGGACAGCTGCCACATTACGCGGCGGGTCGCCAGGTTCCCGGGGGCGCTTTCCCGGGTGCTTCGGCCATGCCCAGAGCCTCAGGCATGGTAGGTTTGTCCAAAATGCACGGCCAGCCACCGCAGCCACCACCACAACAGCAGCAACCTCAGCACGGAGTGTTCTTCGAGAGGTTTGGCGGGGCCCGAAAGATGCCTGTGAGTCTGGAGCCTGCGGTGGGCTCCCGGCACCCATTAATGCAGCCTCCCCAGCAGGCCCCACCATCTTCGCAGCAGCAGCCCCCTCAGCAGCAGCCGCCACCACCCGGGCTTCTGGTCCGACAGAATTCTTGTCCTCCTGCTCTCCCGCGGCCCCAGCAGGGCGAAGCTGGCACACCCAGCGGCGGCCTGCAGGACGGGGGCCCCATGCTGCCCAGCCAGCACGCTCAGTTTGAGTACCCCATCCACCGGCTAGAGAACCGGAGCATGCACCCATATTCTGAGCCTGTTTTCAGCATGCAGCATCCCCCTCCTCAGCAGGCGCCCAACCAGAGGCTGCAGCATTTCGATGCGCCCCCCTACATGAACGTGGCCAAGAGGCCTCGCTTTGACTTCCCGGGCAGCGCAGGCGTGGACCGTTGCACCTCGTGGAATGGTAGCATGCATAACGGCGCCCTGGACAACCAACTTTCTCCCTCTGCCTACCCAGGCCTCCCAGGCGAGTTCACACCGCCTGTGCCGGACAGCTTCCCCTCGGGACCGCCCTTGCAACACCCGGGTCCGGAACACCAGTCTCTGCAGCAGCAGCAGCAACAGCAGCAGCAGCAACAACAGCAGCAGCAGCAACAGCAGCAGCAGCAGCAACAACAACAACGCCAGAATGCGGCCCTCATAATTAAACAGATGGCTTCTCGGAACCAGCAGCAACGGTTGCGACAGCCCAACCTGGCCCAGCTAGGTCATCCTGGGGACGTAGGCCCAGGCAGCCTGGTCCATGGAGGTTCGATGAGCGGCTTGGCTCAGACGAACTTTGAACGAGAAGGCAGCAGCACGGGTGCGGGGCGTCTGGGCGGCTTCGAGCAGCAGGCGTCCCACCTGGCACAAGAGAGTGCCTGGTTTCCCGGTCCACACCCGCCGGGAGACCTGCTGCCCCGGAGGATGGGCGGTGCGGGGTTGCCGGCAGACTGCGGCCCGCACGACCCTGGCCTAGCGCCTCCCCCTGCCCCGGGTGGCTCAGGGGTGCTATTTCGAGGCTCTCTGCAGGAGCCTCTGAGGATGCCGGGGGAAGGCCACGTGCCTGCTCTGGCTTCGCCGGGGCTGCAGTTTGGGGGCAGCTTGGCTAGTTTAGGCCAGTTGCAGTCGCCTGGGGCTGGTGTGGGACTGCCCAATGCTCCGTCTGAGCGGCGGCCCCCGCCTCCCGATTTTCCTGCGCCAGCTCTCGGGGGCCAGCCCGGCTTTCCATTTGGCTCAGGGAGCCGGCAGGCCACCCCGCACAGCGCTCCAGGCGTGAACTCGCCCCCGAGTGCGGGCGCCGGTAGCGGTAGCTCGGGCTCTGGCGGGGGACCTTACCCGCCGCAGCCGGATTTCCAGCCCAGCCAGCGCAACTCGGCCAGTAAACTGGGCGCGCTGTCGTTGGGGTCCTTCAACAAACCCAGCTCCAAGGACAACCTGTTCGGCCAGAGCTGCCTGGCTGCGCTCTCCACCGCGTGCCAGAACATGATCGCCAGCCTGGGTGCTCCCAATCTCAACGTGACTTTCAACAAGAAGAACCCACCCGAAGGGAAAAGGAAACTGAGCCAGAACGAGCCCGACAGCGCGGCCACGGCCGGCAACCCGGGCTCGGATTACTTCCCTGGAGGGACTACTGGGGCCCCTGGACCCGGAGGCCCTTCCGGGGCCGGTAGTGGCGGTTCCAAATCCTCAGGACCGCCCAACCCACCCATCCAGGGTGATGGCACCAATCTCTCCCCCAACTATACCCTGGAATCAACATCGGGGAACGATGGCAAGCCTGGACCCGGGGGCGGTGGCCGGGGAAGGGGACGCAGAAAAAGGGACAGTGGTCACGTGAGCCCGGGGACCTTCTTTGACAAGTACTCTGCAGCTCCTGACAGTGGAGGAGCACCAGGGGTGAGCCCCGGGCAACAGCAGGCTCCTAGCTCAGCTGCTGCGGGAAGCTCTGTGAACGAGGCCCGCGGGCCCACGCCCCACGAGAAGGCCCTCACGTCACCGTCGTGGGGAAAGGGAGCCGAGTTGCTCCTTGCGGACCAGCCGGACCTCATGGTGTCCCTGGACAGCACAGCCAAATCGGATGGTAATTCCCCGCACGTGGGTGAGTTCGCCTCTGATGAGGTGAGCACAAGTTATGTGAACGAGGACGAAGTATCCTCCAGTTCTGACAATACCACAGTCCTGGCCAAAGCCAGCCGAAGCCCCCTGGTGACCAGCTCACCCAAACTTCCTCCTCGAGGGGTGGGTACTGGGGAACATGCACCGAAGGCTCCCGCGATGGGCCTGAGTATCCTGTCTACCTCTACCTCGACCCCTGACAGCTATGGTGGGGGCGTGGGCACCGGCCATCCTGGCACTCCAGGTCTGGAGCAGGTCAGGACCCCAACTAGCAGCAGCAGCAGCAGCGGTGCACCGCCGCCCGACGAGATCCATCCCCTGGAGATTCTCCAGGCCCAGATCCAGCTGCAGAGACAGCAGTTCAGCATCTCGGAGGACCAGCCCCTGGGGCTCAAGGGTGGCAAAAAAGCTGAGTGTGCTGTAGGGGCCTCAGGAGCACAGAACGGTGACAGCGAACTGGGCAGCTGCTGCTCCGAGGCCGTCAAGAGTGCCATGAGCACCATCGACCTGGACTCTCTGATGGCAGAGCACAGCACCACCTGGTACATGCCGCCTGACAAGGCCCTGGTGGATGGTGGAGATGAAGACAAGACGCTGGCACCCTGGGAGAAAGCCAAGCCCCAGAACCCCAACAACAAAGAAGGTATATGTACCTGCCTTGCTTGTTTTCTGGTCCCAGCCCTAGAGTGGGCTGGCCTTCATCTCCACAGACCCAGGCAACCTGTGGCTGGACCTTGCTGGGCTCTCAGGGAGATTTTGGTTTTCCTGGTAGCAAGAACTTACAGTCCCCTTTGGAGTATCATCCGTAGTTACGCCTTCCACCTCCCAGTTTTAGTTTTCAGGGTTCAGGTCTTGGACAAGCTGACCTCGTCATTTCACACTAAGACTCTTGCTGCCTTCAGCACTCAGCCCACTGCTTAGGTGTTCTACCCCCTCCCCCCAGGATAGCTGGAAAGCTTACATTGCCCCCCACCCTTTCCTCCTTAGCATTCAGCAGGAGTTGGTTTAGGACTTTTGCAAAGTCCCCGCCCTGGTGTGGGCAGTGTCACTCAGAAGCCAGGCCTCATTGGTCACTTGTTTTTAGAGAATAGCTCTCAGCCGGGGTTCTAGGCGGCCACCAATCCCAGGTGTATCTGCTTGACCCTGGGCAGCCACAGACTGGGGCTGGGTTCCACTGGCAGCGAGTGCACCGCTCCCTTCAGGACATCATGTGTGTTTGGGGTATGACTCTTCCTAACACACAAAGGACCTTCGCTTGTCTAGATCTCACTTGGCGTTGGTGACAGATGTCCAGTCCCAGGTCTCATTTGCACACTGAACGCCCCTTCCCCACCAGGCCCAGAGGCCTTTAAGGTGGGAGGGACAGGGCCAGTAAAAAGTCTCAGGACTCTTAAATCTAAAGATGAGTAGGCTGCAATAAGTTTGCATCTTATACGAATGGGGCTTTGTTTTTCTTTGCAGAAACATAGCTAGCAGCTTTTTAAAACTGGCAGCATCGTTTTGCCTGCTTCCCCACTCTGCTTCTGAATCTGAGATCCCTCATTGGGCTTTGCTGGACAGAATATTACCATGGCGCATGGCTGACAATTTAAGCCCGTCTTTTAAAAAAACTGTCCCCTTGATCGCTCCTCTTCAGCTTTCTGGTCTCTGCTGAACCCTCCCACTGGGTTTTAAGTATGGATCTGGGGAGGGTAAGTTTTAAGAAAATATGACAGGCTCCTTTAGGGAGAAGGACGCAGGAGCTGGGGTGTTCGAACTCTGGGTAGTCTCCCTTAGCTTTCTGGTTCACGAGTGTGGCTGACGGCTTTTCTCTTTGTTCCTGTTACTGCCCAGCCTGGGATGCCCAGGCCCGCGCTCTCATTTGAAGCTGGGTGTTTAGCATGCACGGCAGACACCGAGCCCGGCAGCAGCATTCTACAGACTACTCCCAGGCAAGGCCAGAAATTGGTTAGTTTGGGACCCTCAGCTCTCCTGACTCGGACACAGTTTCCTGCCGCCCCTTATTTTCTTGGATGTAACATCTGGATCTAGCCCAGTCGATGGTCAGTTAGCTCAGAACTCAATGCTGTCACTTCTCCTGGTCCAGTCTGTGCCCCCCCCCCCCCCCCCCCCCCCCCCCCCCCCCCCGCCGCGCCACAAGTAATTAAAAACATAATGGCCAAAATGGGGTAAGAAAAGTTTTTAAAAATTAGAGAATTAATAAAGAAAACCCGTTAGTATTTCTCCTTGTTGTTAGAAGGACCCTCTAGGTGGGGAAGTATTGGGGCTTTAAGGAGGGTTTTTTTTTTTTTTTTTTTTTTGTATCTTTCCACCTCATTCTCAGTGGGAGAGGTGCAGGCTTCAAGTGCTGCTGACATGTCTTTACAGAATATTTCCTTCCTTCCTTCCTTCCTTCCTTCCTTCCTTCCTTCCTTCCTTCCTTCCTTCTTTTCTTTCTTTTTTAGCTTATTTCAGTGTCCCGGTACCATACACATATGGAAACATGTACTAGTCGCTTCTGGGTTGATTGCCTCTGTAAACTGGAGGACATTCTCCTGTCTGTGAGGAGACACACTTCCAAAGGACTGTCTGTCTCCTAAGCCTGGTGGGGAGTACCCACTTGACCCCCTTTGTTCTCTACTCTGATATAGAAGGATAGTCCCCTACGTAGCTCGAGGAATTGAGGTTTTTGAATGTGCTGCATGGCTGCAAGCTAGGGTTTAATAGGGACTCCCGACTCTGGTTTCCTTAATGGTAGTAAATAAGGATGATTAAAGTTTTCATTATGATAACACCCCACAGTTCCATTTGTATAGGCTGTGCAAATAAATGCACATGACTCTCTGTCAGCTTCTGAGAGCCCCGGCTGAAAAGAGCCACTTTGAAATAAGTCAGAAAAAAGAAAAAAGTAAAAGAAAATGGTCTGTTTCTTAAAAGTTGCCCAGCCCCATTTGCTGGTGTGGGGATATCCAGGGAGGATGATGGGCCTTGAACCTTCAGCCCAGAAAATGTTTTCCCTCACCATTCTCTCAGGCCATTTTTGTGATGATATTTTGTCTCTCTGGAAAACATGCCAGTACTAATGTGATTAAATATTAACTCCATTTCTGAAATTCTCTGCTCAGATGACAGCATACTAGTCAGTGTTTTACAAAGGTATGCGCTGGAAGGAGATATAAGTCGGAGCCACAGGGGAGCCTCTCGCTTGTTCTTCAGGCTGTAGATGGTCCCTTGGAGAGGAAGAAACTTGACTGGCCCATTGCAGTTTCTGAAAGGTCTAGGCCAGAAGGTCATATGGCGATAAGAAGAGTGAGCTTCTCTAGATGACACGGCCCTAACTTCTCAACCAACTGGACAAATACCTTCTCATAAGAAAACTCCACTTCTACCCATGAGGCTTCCTGTCCAAAGTTGGAGTGAAGGGAAGGGCGTTTGAGGTGGTTCAGAGATTTCATGTCAGCAAAGATAAGATGGCTTTAAGATAGTTGGCTGGACTTCTACCTGTGTGTAATAATAGGCTTAGTGTAGATTTGGGGAATTTTAAGACAGAAAGGAAGGGAAAATGATGGTAGAAGATACGCAGTGGGCACTGACTTGGGGAAATGTGTTTTCTTGCTTCCTTTGTGCTACATGGTTTTCAGGACAGGAATTTTCCATGATGTGTACTGACTCTGCTCTCAGCAAACTTCTGTCCTTCTGCTGGTAGCCCTGTGTATTAAACCCAGTGGCCAGAGGGCCTTTCATACACAGTGAGGCCGGAGCTGCCTCTGTCTGCACTGCACACCTAATCCTTGCCTCCCGCCCCACAACTTTCAAGTCCTGTGTTTTTGCAGAGACTTGGGAGACGTTTTGGAACTCCGTGCTCCTCTGTGTTCTTGTAGGAACACAGGCAAGGCTGAGAAAGTATAGTTAGGGCAGGGATGGAACGCTAGATCTTGTTGGATACAGGGTGGGCTTGAGGAAGCCAGGTTTGCCGTGGCTGATGGAGCCATGTGTCCATCATTCCTGCGCTAGAGAGGAAATTTTGAAGTCTCATCTGGACTCTCCCTGGGAACGTGAGCCGGCGCTGCCTTGCCTTTCTCTTGCAGCCTTCATGTGACTTCTGTGCCTTCAGGAGATGTAACCCCAGGCCCCTCAGGTGCTAATCAAGGGTACCGTAAATGGATAGGGGCCCCTTTTGTGCAGCCAGTGCTCTGGCTGCCCACTCCCTGGCTAGTGGAGGGCATCTAACTACTGTTCTTCCACGCTTGTTTAATATTTCATGGCTGTAATAAACCTGTCTTCCTTGCCCGCCTCCCGACATAAACCCCAAGCAGCACACATCTGCAATTACACATTTCTACTAAATATTAATAAAGGACAACAGATTTTTAAGGGGCTGAAGCTCAGTAGAGTTGAACTTGCTGTCGACTCTGCTCCTGCATTTTTTTTCTGTTGTGTTTTTTAAATTTATTTTATATTTTGTAAGTACCAGTGCATTCCAATATGCACCATTTACTTATAGTTACATACAGCTTGTGCTGACGGAAAAGCCATTCCTCATGACAGCCTTCTCTCATATAAATTCATTTAGAGTTCTTGCGAGGCCCCTGCAGACCGGAAGTGAGAGGCTGTCGCGATGCACTCCGGTTTTATCGAGGGCTCTAGGAAAGGAGCGTGGGTGGTTTAATCTCATTTCTCTTTCTAGCAATGAAATTCTATGATTCCTGATATGATTTTGTTTGGCTGACAGAGGTATTTAAATTTCTACAAAGAGTCTTAATCGGTCCTGAGAATACAGCTCCCCTCACCAACAAGCTACTCGATCCACTCTCCTGATATAAAATATGCATCTTTAATATGCCATGCTAGAAGCCAGGTGAAACGAGAGGAGTGAAAGTCTCCTCTGGGTGAAGGGGACCAGGGGCTCCTCAACACTGTGGAACCCAGGGAGGCACTAGTGGCCCTTTCCTCTCCACTTGAATGACAATAACATTGGATTGTGTTCCTTGCCCAGGGAGCAATCCGCTTTGCCAAAACCATTTAGGAGATAAATACTGTCAGTTAGGAATACTGTATTTACCTCTGTCGGCTAATTTTAGAGATGAAAAGCCTGCAGCTTTGTATAATGGGATCAAATGTCTGGGGAGTGCGTGGGGACCGCAGGAGAACCGGCCAACCCCTCCCTTGCCCAAGGGTCCCCAGCTAACGTGTTTTCCTGTAACCAGCATGTCCGCCTGCTTTCCAACCTATTTGGCTAATTCTCTGTTTGTCCGTTGGCCAGGAGGAGCCAGAATAGCCCAGCTTCCTCACCTTCACGTAAGCAGCATCTGTCTGGTGAGGGGAGGTTTGTAAGGACGCATCTATTTTTAGGTGTGCCTTGGGTAGATAGATTTGAGTGTGGGATTTGTTTGCTCATGGCAGCCTCGTTGATAGAGCCCTTAGCGGGTGACAGAGAGGAGCTTCCTGGCCTTCTCATACACACGGAGACCAGATGAAGTCGGCTTGCTGGAGAGTGTGTAGCCCAAGTGAGGTTCAGTGTTCTGTCTAGTCTTGGGGTGACAAGCAAAGGAAAACAGGCCCCTGTGCAGCTTCTACCCATAACCTGACAGGCACACGTCCATGTGCGCGTCCCTCACTCAGATCTGTAGCTTCTTGTTTGCTGTCCCCAATCTACTCCCCCCC